AGAGATATCACAACTATTTAACACACATTTGGTCAAAGGGTCGACTTCACTTGTCTCTTTGACGAGTTGTCGTGTGGTGCTAAGCTTGGCAAGGCTAACTGACGCTTCCAGCGAAACATCTTACAATGTACCAAGTCCACGATCCGACTTTGGAAATTATCATACGTACTTTGGACTCCGTGCCAGGCGTGTTTCTCTAGGTCTTCCTGCCAAGAAAAAGGTCAAACAACTTTTACCACTTAGTTAATCACCAAGTTAGACTGACATTGATTGGTAATCTCGACCAAAGCCAGCTCAAACCAAAGAAATGGGCTTCAATTATCTCATGCCATGAACATCCTGCAACAAGGCAGGAGCGTGGAGATCAGGAATGTTGCTGTGGCAACACACCACTGCCTTCACAGTCAGCCAGATCTACCGAGCAATTCAACTTACTCCCGACTTTTTCCTTCTAGACTTCCATTCCAAGTAGTTCGGACAGACACGTTCACACAAAAGGACAGCTCATCTCAGCATAAACCGAATCCCCGCACAAAGTCGGCTGTGGGCACGTGATAAAAATGGGGAAACTCGTCACTGCGACGTCGAGTTGCTGTGCCTTAAATGGCGTCGAGACTAGACAGTTATGGTGCCAGATGTAAAGACTGAAGAGTAGATCATTGCAGTGATGAACCTGAGATGGAGTCAAGCCCACCAAGCAGATCAGGCTGCGACCACACGGACGAAATGTATTTATGGTGTTGCTGCTAAAAATAGACCGGAGGTCTGTCCATAAAAGAGGGCTCTAAATGTCTGACTTGTAGGTCTAATTAATTTAGCCCGGTTCCCCAAGAGGCGCATACAAAAGAATGCATATTTATAAGTAGGTACATGCTAATTATGTAGACATGTTATCATCTCACACTTTAGCACTGGTTACTCGCGCTACCATTCCCTACGAGCTGGGCTAAATCTGGAACAATCTCGGGCTAACTCTTCCATGATTGGTTGAGTAGGGCGTAGAGCCTGCTTGCCGATTGGCTAGTGAGGCCTAGGCAGCAAGAGGAGATGCAAGCGACGTCGTTGATTGGTCGAAAAACTGTCTGTCTTCTTTCTGGCTCATCGACCTGTCGTCATACGCAATTGCTGTCGTCTGACAACCAGACGCCAATCAACCAATAGGGTTGGGACGAGCTGCAATCACTTGACGCAAGTTAGGACACTCACCTGTCTGCTGATCGGACCGTGGTGCCGAAACTATGCCTGCTGACGTCCGAGTGGGGGTGGATGGGCAGAGTTTACGGGCAAGACAAGCGGGTCAAGCAGGCCCGGCAGCCACGAGGCAGTGAAGAGGCAGGCCAGCAAAACGAGAGTCAGATCACGCACACCAGAACGCCGCTCGCGGTCTTCGCATGAGACAACCGTCTCGGCGTGCATCTTGTCCCTCGACTAGACGAAGCCAGGCACATCGGCGTCTTACTTCCAACGTCATATATCGACTTGGTCCATTTCATTGCTTTCCTTCCTCCCCCCTTCACCCGCTTCTCCTCAGCGCCATCTCTCGTTCGCGACCTATCCCTTACAATCACTCACAATCTCTTCTCGTCCTCATGTCAGTCAACTCCGGAATCCTCTTCTTGCTCGGAGCCGACCTCGTGGAGTGATCAACCTCCGGTTGCCCTGGTTGCAGGCGCCTCCTCGTCAGGAGAGTGAGGGATGGGTGTGCAGATGTATGTGTATGTGTGTGTGTGTGTTCTTGCGTCATGATGCACCTGTCGGAGGTCGGGGGACGAGAGAGCTGGATGGACGGTTGTCGGAGGTGGGGCTTGTTGTGACGAGAAGGAGGATGGATCTATTCGCCTGTTTGTGCCACTGGCAGATGCTGGAGACAAAATGTGGAGGATGTGTTGTGGGGCTTGTTGTGTGATGTGTAATCTGCAATCGTATCCAATGCCGCATCTTGCGGCTGGACTTTGTGGATGAGGGAGACATGATGCTCTGTCGGCTGGGCAGTCTGTGGACTGGCGAATCTCGCGTCTCGGTCAGCGGGCGAAATGGAGCCGTGTGAGGTCGACATGTCCGGCGAGCCGGTG